AGGTCGGGTTCGAACCATGGACCTTCCGGTCAGTAAATTCGCGCTCTAACCACTTGAGCCATCTCGCCCCCAGAGCTTCTATTAGTACAAGTTTGACCCCCAGACATTGCCGGGGGGTTGTCGGATCTTATCTGTATGTGTCCTTTCCAAACTGCACTGTTTTCAGTTTTCAGAAACGTTCCTCCCGGTTTCACACGTGAACTGCCAACGATAAGTACTCAGTATTACTCATCACCTTTGAGTATTTGTTCTCATTTCATAGTGTTTCTCTGATTTCATTTTGCAATTCAGGTGACCCACAGTGGTGAGAAGTTGGCCAACATACCAAAGGCGCCTGTACTGATGGATAAACTTTCCGAGGCACTCAGTTCCTACGCCGATTTACCAGACGTGTGTTCCGAGGCACAGCAACACCCTTCCCGTCCTGAACTACTGCATACCACGGGAGCACTTGCTGGCAGGTTAGGAGATATGGTGCATAAATCTGATCGAAACACAATCGGACAGCCCGACACTGATTTGAATGGTGCCATCAGTATGCTTCCCGTACGACATGACAATACGTGTTCCCCCTCGGCGAACGCGAAAGAATTCAACAGAATGATGAAAACCCACTCGGCACAAGTTCCACTGGGAGCGAATATTTCCGAATCCCGCCCCGTACCATCCGTATGGCCCAATTGTGGACTGGAACGCTTCTCGCTGAACAACGCCAACTGGTCGTTACGGTCCTCACACGTGCAGAGCAGCACCGATCTCAATGGGATTTCATTACCAGGTCGAGAAAGCTCAATGAACTGGTTGCTCAATCCTCTCGCGGTGAACGCCAAACTTGAACAGAACCATTTCCATCATCATCACCATCATCATGTACATATAAACGCACCGTTGACTTCGGTTCCCACGAATTCGCCAACTTGCACACAGACACGTCTGCTGGATCATTCAACCGTTATGCAACCGTTATTTCCCCGAGCAGAAACACAACCAGTCGAGCATTCGCCCGAACCACGAGCAAGTTCGTGTTCGAAACTCCCAGCTGGAAGTTATCTTCCAACCGAATTCGCACCTTCTGGTCCGGGAAACATGGATACCCGAGTAGAGGATACCGGGCCCTACATATCATTGAATGGAACTCACGCTTGGTCCGTTGGGAAGATGAAGTCTGATCGATTCGCAAGAAATCAGTCCTCAGTTTGGCACAATGAACGAAAACTGGTGTACCCGGGTTTGGTCAGTAACACTGATGGATTTGGCTATTACAGTTACAACACAGAGTCGAATTTGGATCCTGGATTCTACTGCCCAGACCGAGTTTCGGCGGTCGCTGCGGCGGCAGCGGCAGCAGCTGCGATGGTTGCGATGGGACCACCTCTTGGTAGCCCGGCACGAAGGCGGTGTCCACAACACTGCTACCAGTACACATATCCAACCGCACAGGACCCTGGTCACCCTCCGGTGGATCAGCTATCCCCAGACTCCTATGGTTTCCGTGGAGGACCGTATGTTCACTCGTCAAGAACTCATCAATTTCATTCGCCCAGCGGACAGACTCGTGCTGCTCAAGTGGAAGAAACGATGTCATATCCCATGGATCAAAATGACTACGTGGGATACGCGTCACAGAGTGTGGATGAGTACAAACCAAATCTGAGTGAATCCAATTCACTTGTATCCGACATTCCGAAAGCATCAGCTTCTAAACAGAGATGGACTGCAGTCACCGGTGAGGAAGTCCCTACGCCAAACTGTCCAGCTGATCAAAGTATGGCCAATTCCCCATCAACATCAGCATCGGGATCTTACCTTGGAAAGGATAAAGATGCGACGGACAGCTCAGCGCCGAGCTTTACTCAGTTCAGTGGAACCATCAGAACATCTGTGCACGTTCCATTCACCGAGGTCCCCCTCGAAACGATGGCAGAGAACCGAAATCATCCTGAGGAGCGTGAAATGTTCCCAACAGATTTCTACGTCACCAATTCCAACAAACAAATTTTGATGCCAACGGTCTCGGATTTGTCCCCAACACAGCCTCAAAAACCAAGCTTTGGTGATACAGACTCACTACCGGTTCAAGGCACCAGTCAAACCGATGACACCGAGCACATCAAATATCCAACCACAGACATGAGAGGGAAACCCCTATGGAACCAAACTAAAGCATGGTCTTACGACGTACCAATGGATGACTCACAAACTGATACGGGTTCGGATACACACGGGCAACATATCTCCCCACTACAAGCAAACCGTTCACAAAATTCCGGTAATTCATCAAAAATCGAATTTCACAACGATGTTTCAACGGAAACATTTAGAAATAACCGACAGGGTTCTCGGTAAGTTGCCTCTGTGTGTTGAACAACCCGGTTTGTGATTCACCTCCTCCCTTTCTGAGTGCGTTCTCTTTTGGGAGAAACCGCATTTTAAATCTGTAAATGCATCAAAATTTCACAACGGGACACCGATTCAGTCAAGAACATAAGTTGCGAGTCAGGTGGCGATTTGTTTACAAACGGACCTCATCAGTGTAAGTCTGTTAACTGCCAAGTTTGGAAGTGACGGACCGGCAAAGTATCATCATAGTTTTGTCAATACCATTCTTACACCTGGGATATATGTACTAACAGCGCTTGCTCCCAACATATCCGTTTTGGAAATAAAAGAACTCAAGGGCTGTCGGAGATTTCTCGACTATCGTGTGATTATTTTTCGCTGAGAAAAAGGTGAAACTTTCTTCGAAGCGGTGCTAACCATGTTCTGATGCCGGACCTCTCCGAGTGGGCAGACGCGACAAGCCGTAAAGTTCGCCTCTCTTAAGCTTGTGTGGAATTCCCCACTGCAAGTCATGCAACCGTTCTAAATGAGAATGATTCCCGGTGAACAAGCTAATTTCAGGAATAACAAGGTACGTTTATCCTCCAGAAAGGCCAATAAACCAAGTCTGCCCACAGATGAAGCAAAATTTCACTGAATGTGTAAAATCTCCTCCTGAAAAGTTGTCACTTGAGGAGTCAGTCAAAACGTGACCACGTGATGTGGTTTCCGTTATTGACCGTTGATTGGTGCTTTGTCCTCTGTGAGTGAGAACTAATCACACTGCTGCTCAGCCATTCGTGGCCACACGGCTGCGTTCAACTACTGGCTGGAAGGTTTCAGGTTCGAAACTCCCTGAGTTGCGTAAATTGCTCACTTCTGATAATTCTAAACAAGGATGAAACAGCTGTACAGTGCTTCTCCGCGCTTCTCAGCATAGATTGGCTTAGCCGACAGGATGAAATCTCTATTCAATAGATAAAATGTCAGTGACAGCCAATGTCGGGGTCCTTCTTTGGGGAAAGGACACAGCTAGAAAAAAGTGGCTTGCTTCTTAACGGATTGCGAGATAGAATCGCAGGATACTTTGCCTGAAGTGCCGCTCCCAATTGGTAAGTGTTTACTGAGAGAAACAATGCGAAAATTCACCGGAACGTTCTCCTCGAACTGATTTCCCAAAGTGACGCAGCTTATTGCAATCACTTCTTTTCTGCACTCGGTTCTGAAGGCTTCCAAAGCAAGCATCGCAGAATTAGGCATAGTTTGAAACGAAATCCGTAGGACTAGGTTGGGACAGTCCATATGTACTTTGCCACTCAATGGAAAATTCGCCTTCAGTTCGTTCAGTTTGTCGGCGACCCGGGTTGATTTCGCACACAAAGACCATTGGACAGTCAAACGTACGAATATTTGGCCTTTCTTGTAACCGAGACGCTTCCTAGAAGGCTAGAAAAATGATGAGATCTCGCAAAAACAAAAACGACAGAACTGATAGACCATCGCGCTCCAATCTAACCACTCCACAAATCAGCGAGCCGTAACTATTGGCTGTCAACCAAATGCGTCTAAGTCGATACAAAAGACCTAATCCGTGATGTCCAGTCCGAAGCACCCACATGAATTGGCCAACGTCAATGTAGTCTGGGGGGACAGTGCGTGATCATCAGGTTTCGTGTCGGTGAATTCGGTGAGGTAGGCAAAACACAACACCTCATCGTCACCGTTGGTAGGTAGGTTAGCTAACAACAAGAAATGACAAAACGCGGGTCAAATACCTTCATCAACGCCATGCTTTTTTTTGAATGCCCCGGTAACCAGGGCATTTTGACGTGCCAAATCGGAATTACGTTTTCATCTACCAATGATTGGTGATCTTCAAACTAGAAAGTCATCGCCCAAAATACTCAAATACCTGAGGCAGTCGGTGGGTTTCCTACATAAACGTACTTAGTATGTTAGCGAATATACACTCATTTGCAAACTAATTTGGTTTTTCGTGAGACTCACCTGGAACCCTCTCGTTTGTGATGTTCTCAGGCAACTGAATGTGCAGTAAGTGTTTGCAAATGAGTGTATATTCGCTAATTTCGTGCAATTCGGTCTCAAGTAGAACATAAGGTAGAAGGAAACTTGGGGGGACTGCGCCTACCTGATGAGCTCCAAAAAGGGCGAAACCGGTCGTGGGCTGTCGACGGATTTTCAGCAACCTTATGAGTAGTACATTACCTAGTATGTGTTCATATCTGCCACGAAAAATGTTTTTCCCCCAAATCAATCATCTATTTATGGGTCTGTGATTTTTCTCAGATTGCTATGAATGGATGCTTTAGTTCTGGTGGACTTCAACCAATCATGCAGTGCCATCGACACAGTGACCAAGTTATGGAATTATTTATCCTTATTAGTAGTATAGGAGGGTTGTCTAAATCTGGCCCACTGCCATTTTCGCCCTGTTTGAAACTCAGAATTTGGAATCCCCCGATTTCATCCAATTTTTACTGCCAAAGTGTTCATATGTCAAATAAATTAATCATCCTTCTGAGTCCAGAGCGGGGTAAAAAAAGCAGCTGTAACCATGGGCAAATTTTGGTCAGTTTTCCAGCACTACTTGTAATGGTTGGCTGCGGAGCCGTGGATGAACTGAATCGACATTTCCTCTCCTTGCTCAGATACTCACAGAACCGTCCTAGCGGCTTACTGAAGACTCTTCGACCTTATGAGTAGTACATTGCGTCCATACATATATCGCGATACCTCGAATATCGTACCAGCCGGAACATGAGGCAGCCTGGTGTGGCACATTCAGTTGCTTAAAAATATCATAAACGTGTGATTCATCTGGGTTCCACGTGAGACTCCGGTCAAAACCAAATTAGTATACAAATGAGTGTATTTCTTCCTAGCGGCTCTTCAATCGGTCAGGTTCGACGAATCAACGTTTCGCCTGCACGGATCAGGTTTACTTTAGCTCCAGAGGTTGTTGAATGCCAACTACACCGTATGCTTTCATTCAAGGAATAAAATTGACTCTGGTCATAACGGATGCTCTGAAGCGCCCTGTTCAAATTCTTGGTACTCGGATCCAGTCCGGTGTCGTGACAGAAGCTTCTTTGAGAGAAAAGTAAAGACTCAAGGGACTCGTAATGCGATTAGGAGTATTCAATATTTCTGTTTGCATTAACTACTCACTAAGATAAGTGTCCTCAACGTGTAACAAGCCGGTGTGAGCCCATGTTATTACCGAACAACTGAGGACCTTTCAGACAAAGTACACAGCCAAGCGCACCACTAATAATGTCTAATAGGAGTGAAACTCGAGTCCATTACCGTCCCCTTTCGGTGCAGGCGAACTGGAATATTTGCCCCAAGTTTGGAGGGGGACTGTTCTAACGACGGCGTCAAGAACGTGAAATGACAGTAGGACTAACACAATCCGAGTTCACAATATGGATGTCCCCTTCCTGGCTGAATCTATCCTTTTGGATGTTCTACAACTGAATGTGCTGTCTAAAGGCCTTTTCATATTCTAGTTGGCACGATGATCGCGACACGAGTTTTTTTGTCAACAGTCTACCGGTTTCGCCCTTCTTGGGACTCATCAGGTGGGCACGGTCCCCCAGGTCCCTGGCAACCCAGCTAACTAAGCTCATCGGTGTGCCGCAAATCGAAATGATGAATAGCCTAAACGAGAGACAACGGGGACTCCGCTGAATCCTCTGTTGAGGCGAAGCTAATTTACAAATGAGTGTAGTTCACTGCTTGGGTATTCTATGTCGTTCAAGTAGAATATAAGGCTAACAAACACTTGGAGACTGGTGAGATCCGGGAAGCGCTGGTGAGCTGTCGAAGAGTTATCAGCTGAATATACCGGTCAAAACGCTGCTCCAGGTTTCTTTTGGAGTGATATTCAAGATATCGAAGTACGTATTAGAAAACAGAGATACGGCTAAGTCTTCCACTAACTGCTTCTTGGTTCGGAGTCGACCGTAGCTGCATGGTTGCTCCATACGCTCCGTTCTCTTGAAAGAAACTGTTCGTAAGGTTGCTGAAAACTCATCGACAGCCCACGACCCGTTTCGTTCTTACTGGTGTTCATCAGATAGGCGCAGTCTTATGTTCTACTTGAACCCGAATTGGACTGGTTTCGACACATACACTCATTTGTAAATCAATTTGGTTTTCACGAGAGATATATTCTTCGACCTAATGTGCTGCACACAGGCCGCCTCATGTTTCAGTTGCTACGACATTCAAGATATCGCGATACATGTGTATTCATACTGCAATACTCATAAGGTTGCTGAAAACTCCTCGACAGCCCACGACCAGTTTCGCGCTTGTTAAGGCTCATCAGGTGGTGCGCACCCCGAGTTTCCATCAACGTTATGCTTTGCATGAACATCATTTTGCAGGGGATTTCCAATCTATCCTCGTTTGTACATTGGCACGGGCTTAACGGGAGGCTCGATTGAATCTCTGGTTTAATTCAATTGAATGTGCTCACTTCATGAACTAGAGATTCGCCCGGCATTCATTTGAAATCTACTCCCAGACTTCGAACATCGTACCGACTGAAACATACGGCGAGCTTTGTGCAGTTCATTTTATCTGGAGAATAGCATAGACGATGGATTCAGCCGAGATTCAGCTGACTATCGCATTAAAACAAAATCGGTGTGAAAAAAGACTGTCATTGTGGAATGCCATGTATCAATTCTGTGTCGGGTATGAACACGGACGGCCTTTTTAAAGTTTGAATGCGCACTTTCGTTTGTCCAGATCGAACCAATCACAGTTGGTCGACAAGTCTGGAACCTCTAGGATGCGTATTTCCTCACTTTTGGTCGAATGAAATGGCGAGCTGGTTTCCCCGAATCCGCACAACGGAAGATCAATAAATTCTCATGACTACCAAGTACACTAACGACAAATTTACTCAAACGAGAAGGCGATAGAGCAACAGGGTGGCAAAATAACCGGAAGAGTGGACTTTTGTTGCAAGTTAAATGTGACAAAGAGTTCCGACG